CTTCCAACTCTAATAATTTTACTTATTTGTTTAGGCAGATTGGATTTGAACACTTGGAATGTGAAGTTTCAGAGTTCTTCTTAACTATACATAGCTGGAAGAATAAGTGTTAAAACTATCACTAGACATCTAAGAACAGATTAATCCCTATGTTGGCATGATTATTTAAAGTAGAGAGAGAAAACATGTCTTAATGATAATAGAGAGGAAGGCAATGCGATTTTTAGTGAGAGATTGGGTATAAAAAGAAAACGGAAGGCTCAGAGTTAACAATGATATGTGAGAAAGACTGAAAGGGGAATACAGATATACTTATGGGGAGACTGAGATATGGTCCAGAAATCTAAGAGAAGTAATTGAAGTTGAGAAAGGGGGCAAAGGGGAAGAGTTCAGTGATCACATACAGCTGATTGTAAATGTAGAAAATGGATAAAGACCTTGCTGAAACTCATCTGAAAGGCCAGTGTCTGTCAGGAATGGATACATTACCCTTCCCCAGGAAAAAATACCTGAATCTACAATATGTTATTTTCATGACGACACTTTGCTGAGAAGAAAAGGGGATAAATGGTGATATGCAATTTTCAGAGATTTTCATAGTGGTTTGCCACATGTAGAAATGCTTACACAAAGGAGTACAGCATTGTGTTTTAGGGTTCGTTTGCGTTTTTTTTTCTTCCCCTGGAATGTGCTATATGTTGCATTCAACACATTCTCAAGTGGAAGTAAGGTTCACTGACTCATAGCTTCAAAATATTTATAAAATACACATTTTCATAATGATAAATTACTGAAATTTTATAATCTGTGCTACTGTAAAATTGGTGACTTCTTAATGCTTACTACTGTTGAGATTGCAGTACATCTGGGTATGAAAATATACATAAAATGAGTCTAGATATTTTACAAAAATGTTTTGATCTATATAGAGCTTTTACAAAATCTAGTGTTGAGTCTTAAACCTGCATTAAACTGGCCTAATTTTATTAGTCTTTCATATTTAGTGAACTAAAAAACAAAAATAATACCTGGTACATTTGATCTTAGTATTTAATCACTCAATCAGAAGGTTGTCCTGTGGTCTTTCCCAGAATTTTTTATCTGAAATGGGAAAGGAAAAGAGAACAAGAAAGAAACTATTAAATGAATTATCAACTTATTTTCATTTTTTCAATAAAGTAAAAATCCCATGATATTAAAAACTATTACTATATGATATTGACTAAATTACAGAAGTTCTGAAAATTTTGAGTTGATCACCTTTACACTTTCCTATTTAAGGATAATCTTTTGTACCTCCAAATGAAATAATATTTAATAAATAACCTTGAAAGAATATATTCTTAAATAATTAAATATGTAAATAATATTTAAAATCATATAGTCTATTTCTTATGCTAATCTGTTACTGAGCTTACTGGCTGCATAATATATTCCATCTCTAGCTTTTGGCATAGATGTGATAGCTTGTTATACTTCCAGAAAATCAGTGTGAGAGTGAGATGTTAAAATTCAAGGGCATCTGGAGTTGTCATCAAGATCTGAAGACTGAAAATGAGAATACTGAAAGCAATCCTAAAACTAAGCCTTTCAAGATGAGATGGCACATACGCAAGATTTTGCATTGGTCTTTCAAATAGAACTAAGAGAACTGATTTGCTGTCTTTTTCAACATGAATTAAACAAACATGTCAGAAGACTAACAACACTCATACTATATATAGTACATCCTTCTGTTATTACAGGTAGAGAGGGTTGCTCTGCGTAATTTACAGTCTCCAGATAGCAGGATATTGAAAGAGTACAGAAACTTGTAAATTCCTGATGAAATGCAAGCATAAGTCCGTTTACTATTAAATGGGATTTACTGCAGTTATCCATGCTCGCTCTCTCCCTCACAGCTGTATTTTTCTGTAGAGAATACCAGGGCTTCAGACAAATGACAACATAAATAAGCTTCTTATTTAGAGTTAGTGCAGAATAACTTGTATATAGAATCATCACCTATATTACTGTTAATCTTTTAAGCTGTACAGTCTGGGATTTTTTTTTTATATATTTTAGGAACACTAAATTAATATTTGAAATTAAGATGAAAATGGCAAGGAGCTTATAATCAAATAACACTTCAAAACTGAAAATGGTGTAAATCTACGGGTTCGTTTATGTTATAGATGCAAGGAAGACCTGCTATGCAGATTAAGCCACCACTCTATTTCTCCTCAGAAAAACACTTGCTTAAATATAGATGATCTTGTGACAGTACTGATATAAACAGAATCACATTTTATCACACAAAATGGGAATTCTGTAGCCTATACTAATAATTGTGAATTTATTTTGTTCTTGTGCAATACGCATTTAAAAAAAAACAAACAAAACACTACTTTCAGGTAAAGCAGAATTGGAGATCCTGACTACCAGAAAATGCTGTCAACTGCTTGCATATATTATTCTACTCATCTGCATACTTTTGAGAATGATTGACCAGTCACTTTGGTCAGACATAAACCTGAATTGTGGTAACTTTTAGAGCCTGCTCTTTCTTTAAATCACAGTTTTACTTAGTGATTTACTTATGTCTGAAAACCTCAATATTTGGAAAGTTAACAAAGTGAAAAAAAAAAGGCACTCGAGGAAGTCATTCCTGTTGAATGATGTTTGTTACAAAGTTGGAGCTTCCTGTTCAGTGCTCTCATTTTCAAACTCCCTGCCTTCCCTTCCCTATCCTGATGGGTTTTATCATTTTAGTGTGTAGCATGCTCAGTAGAAATCCAAGTATCTGTTTAGCCAGAATGGTTTTATTAGCTATATTCATGAACTCCTCTCAAATAGTTTAGACATGTAAAGTGAGCATTGCTGACTTTAGTAGGTTTGGTTTTTTTTTTAATTTGCCCAGTATTATAACATACATTTTTTTTTATAATCTACATACAATTTCTTGTTGGAATGCAGTTTTGCTCTGTCTTCACTTGTGCCCTCTTCCTTTTTAACCACAAGTACGTATTTTTTCTGTTAGATAGTGCTTACTTAGCCTTTATTCCGGGTTTCAGATTTGGTTTGTGTTTTCCTCACTGCCCCTCTTCTGTATTGGGCTTGCACAGAAATTAAAAAGCTTATTTGGGGAGCTTCATCTACAGTTTGTTTTCTTGAGTCTTCATTAATTTGCCCTTTAATGGATTTCTTAAGGTATTTTATGCTCCCTCCAGGCAGCTGACATACAGAAGTGGATGTCTGTATCTTTAGTAATACTAAATGAAGTTTTGACTATTAACCTCTTGCGATTAGACTGATATTGCCAGTTTAGACACTGATGATTTGCATGACTAATAATCCAAGTGACGGGAATTGTGTGTTGTTATACTACCTAAAGTTGTATATCAACATTAACTTGTCATCTGGCATTCTACCTGCATTTGGCTGCTGAGGCAGTACAGTAATAAAGACATACCTCAGTATTTGTATGCCTACACCTTATTCTATTACCCTACAAATAGCTGGCCTCTTATTAAAAAACACTGAGGACACTAGATACAGAATGGAAACTCTCAAACTGTCTCTCATTCTGCATGCTTGGTAGACTGCCTTAGTCCATGAAGGTGACTGAGCATTTAAAGTAGAATTCAGTAAGTTTTAGGAACTCATATCTAAATATGCAAGAATCTAGAAAATCAACATGCTCCTGCCCCAAACTTTATAGGAAATAATAGTACTTCATTAATAACTCTTTAAGAAAAGCTGTTTAGAACCAGTGCTGACATCTAAAATTAGAGATCTAACCACTCCTGTCACAAAAATCTGGCTTTGCAGCTTTGCTTGTTTCATTTCTGCACTGAGTAAAGTTTTCATAGTTTAACAAGTTCTAACTTCAAAAATATTTTAATTTTGAATAGATTGTTCTATGAAAACAGCTCTTCCATGCAACTTAAAAAAAAACTTACCTTTTTTTTGGAGTTGTAGATGTCGATTTTGCATTCTCTTTAATAAAGAGACGTGCTGACAATATTTTATGTAGAGATCATGTCAATCCGTAGCAGACTGGCAGATGCCCTTTCATGTCTCCACTGGAATATAAATTGTATTACTTTTATTCCCTCAAAGTATTTTTGAATACACATATATTGTTGATCAAGATAACTGAATGACTATAGGAAAGAGTAAAGTGCATTATTTAATTATTAAGTTATTAATCATTATTTAATTATAGTATAACATAAAATAATCTAAAATAATATTTTAATATTATTTTATTATTCCTATTATTTTTATTATTAAAGTGAGTTATTTAGTTTTAAATTATACAATATAGCCTGTAATACTAAATAAAAAGCATAGTTGGTGTTTCCACTTTCATACTAATAACCTTCAGTGGACATTGTTTTATATAATTATTGAAGAACACTAACAAGTAATACAATAGAAGGTATGTTCGAATGTGAGTTGTTGCTGTCCTTTAAACAAAGTCTTTATCCTTGGGCAGTCATGGAATCATATAATGGTTAGGACTGTGACCTTAAGGATCATCTAGTTCTAAAACCCCTGACATAGGCAGAGACACCTTCCACAAGACCAGGTTATTCAAAGTCCCATGCAACCTAGTCTTGAATACTGCCAGCAATGGGGCAGCCATGGCTTCTCTGGGCAACCTGTGCCAGTACCTCACCACCCTAATAGTAAAGAACTTCTTCCTAACAGATAATCTAAATCTACCCTCTTCTAGTTTAAAGCCATTCCCTGTTGTCCTGTCACTACCTGCCCTTGTAAAAAGGCACTCTCCAGATTTCCTGTAGGCCCCCTTTAGGTACTGGAAGGCTGCTATAAGGTCTTCCCTGAGCCTTCTCTTCTCCAGGCTGAATGCAGACCAACTCAGCCTGTTTCCATAGGACAGGTGCTCCAGCCCTCAAAGCATCTTCGTGGCCTCTTCAGGACTTGCTCCAATAGGTCCACATCCTTCTTTTCTTGGGGGTCCAAGAGGTGAATGCAGTCATGTACAGACTCTCCAAGGTTTTCATTAGTCTTTAATTGTACTTGCTTTGCTAGTTGCAGACTACAGACAGAAATATCACTGGGTCATGAAACACTAAGTAGAACTCTGTCAAATGACATGTAAAACAGGTATGAGAAAATGGCTGTAGTCTTCCTTTCATAAAAGTGCCTTCTCTTAATTGTCTTCCCCCCCCCTTTAAGAACCCTGACAGTAAAGCTGAATTGTTGTTCCTTTCTTTAAGCAGAAGATTAAACATTCTCACCATTATATAATACAATTTCCATTTTATTTTAAACATACTTTGCAAGATATAAAAATATTGATCACAGTGAGCTTTAACAATTGTTACTGCTATAAACAGAAATGCTGCACAATGGTTTTAGTGGAAATAAATTATATAGTCATTATCTCTTTAAAAAAAAAAAATCATGAGAAGAAGAACCTAGGCTGTTTGGTCATTGGCAGAAAATAAGTCCTTATTGAGTTCTTTACAAAACATGAACCCCAGTTATTTTCTACATTTGCTTTCCTCATCTTGAGAAAAGCATAATGAGTCTGTCTCTGAAAGTCCCACAGGGTCTCTGGTGCACATTTGATTCCAAATATTAGCAAAGTTTCTGTTGTTCTTTTGTTCTAGTGGAAAAATGTACATCAAAAGAGTGAGAAGTGCTCTCTTCACTAATTCATAAGTGGTCTTTTCCAGTATGTGGGTACACAGCGGCACACTTCTTCACTAAAATAAAATCCAGCATCACAGCGTTTCGTTCGGACTGTACATGGTGGTCTGTAACAACTAAAGACATTAACAAACAAAAAAAAAGTGGGCATTAATATAACATGATCATTTATATCAGCCTGGAGTAGAAATCTGTGTGCATTTAGATTGCAATTGATCAATGGGAGATTTAATTCCTACAAATACTTTTAACTTATGTTTATGTTTTTGCAACTACTTTTAATTGGACTATTCACAAAATCAGTGTAAGAATACTGAATGCTACTGAAGAGAAATGCAACAGATACTCATGTTTATTTTTAACATATTGCCGGATTCTAGTCATATTCTAGAGTGTTTTTATTAATTTAATTTTGAAAATGCAGCAATAATTTTCTGTAGTCAAAGTAGCTTGTTATGACCTATTGCATGCTGCCAGTTTGAGGTGGCAATTCAGAATCAGATAACTAAATCTACCATCTTCTTACCCAGGACTGTTTCTTATCGTATTTACTAATGCAATAAGCCTGAGAGCTTTGTCTACATACGTTATGCTGTGATTTGAGTACTGAAAATGAGAACATCCTTTCAAGTTGCAAACTCCTATAGCCATTAGGTCCATTGAAAATACATCTACACTTCATATTGCATCTATGCGCACACTGAAGTAAGATCAGAGTCTGAGTTTTTATGGTAAATCTTAAAGGTAAGAACAGAAATAGTCACTCTTTGATTAAAATAAGTTTAACAGAAATAGAGCATTAAACCAAAGTCACATCTACCTAAAAAGCAGCAGAATTTTTCTTTGCAGATTCCTTGATGGAAAAATAGAACTTACACAAAGAAAATATCTGTGGTTGTCCCTGAACTCTTCCTTTTCCTAGTTTATTTTTCTATTAAAACAAGAACTTGACCTAGAATAACCTTAAAATAACAATGCCTGAATACTTTCTGGTGCATAATGGAGACAAAGTACAAGTCTGGTGTGTTTTTTCAGATGCTGGCAATGAGTCAAAAGACAAAAGTATATGTTTTGAATTTCAACACAGTTATACTTACAACTTGTACTTAAATAATGTGTGCCTGTTTGTGGAACCCTGATATTATGATCTATTACTATAATTTATACTTACTTCAGTTCAAAGCACTACAGTATTACTATGTTAAGGCAATGTTACTAGCCTTTTAGGTAATTCTTGTTTCAGGCTTGTGGCTACTCCTATTGTTGCAGGTAAGTTAATATGTTGTGTGCTTGTTTTGGATACCAAGTTACTACTTTGCAATAATTTGTTTATGATATAAGGTCTGGATTACAGTGATATTAATTCATGCCAGCTAGTTTCAACCAATAAAGCTGGCTATGAGAAAAACAATAAGGAATGAGGAAGACTGCAAACATGACATTTATTAACTAGTCACATCTTGCTCAGTGTTTTCAATGTCATTAATCATAGATTAGTTAAACAGTGTGGTCTCTATAACTAAGCGAGTAACATTTTGTGGCACAATACAGATATCTGAGATCAGTGTAACAGCTCATCGGAATCTCTCACAGCCCCACTGATCTTTTGGCCAATGAAGTTGGAAACAGTGGTAAAAAGCAACAGAAATGTTTGCAAAAGTATCTAATACTCTGAGCAAATGGGCAGCCAGCACTAGGTCTGTTCTGGGATAAAGGTACTTCACAGAGATGCAATAGGTGAAACTCACTTGCCTTTTTGCCTGCCTCTGCCACGAAAGTAGACTATTTCATGTACTGAATGACCATAAAATTAAATTAAAAAAAAAAAAAAGGCAAAGCCAAATTCTTCGATCCACCTGACACGTTGAACAAAATGAAAAGCAGTCACGTAATCATTAAATATTAGGAGTTCACTCTGTTTGGAGTATGACTCCTGGTGAACTGTGAACTTGAACTTAACTCACAGTTGAGAGTGCTACAAAGCATCTCTCCCATGCGAGTTTGTGTCTGGCAGCAGTCAAGGTCGAGTTACTGCACTCTTAGCCTTATTTGGGACATTTGAACAGAGCAAGAAGGCTCCTCTCCTCCCCTAAAATGCTTTGCAGCTGAGGTGCCTAGTTATCTGGCCCTGCCAAAACTGACCAAAATACATTTTTGAGGTGATAGCACAGGGTGAATAGCAGCAGAGTCATTGTAACTACATAAATGTGGTTTCCTTAGGAAACTCTGCTGAACAATAGCCCAGGTCTTTCAAAAGATTTGGGCTCAATGTTGTTTACAGAGTGCTTTCATGTGAAAGATGTCTGTTTTGATGAGGATAATCTGAGCATGCTGGAACTAAGATAGATAGATCTCAGTCAATAGGTATAGTGCTGGGTGAGTCAGCAGCAACTTTGTGACCAGTATTTGGGATTTTTGCTACCAAACGCCTCAGTTTATCAGTTTGGTCAACAACTCTACAGATGAAACTGAAGTAGAAATGCTACTTTTAGGGGTGATGACAGTATGATCATCCTAAAAGCCAGTATGCTTTATGGTAGGGATTTTTGTTTGCGTTTTTTTTTTTTTTTTGCGGGGGGGGTGGGGGGGGTGGGGAGGGGAGGTGGATGTTATGTTGAGGTTTTTCTTCCTATCCTGTGTTTTGTAAATTACTTTATTTCTTTCCTCTGGAGCCGGGTATAACATTAGAGGCACAGACATTTTAGGTACAGCTTATAAAAATGTTGATACTTCAAAACCAGGACATACAAGAACTACTCTGCATGGTGAGCTGTCTGGGACACGGCTATAGGAATCTGCTCACGTCTAGGTCTCAGGCATCTTGCAAAAAGTTACAGAGTGGTGCCTCCATTTACATGGTCTCTTAACAGCAAGAGATATTTCTTACAAAGGCAAACAGGATGTTGCTGGGGCTTTATTCCTTTTAGAGAAAGCTTGTGGTGGGCAGAGCGTGAATGTGATAAACCTGTGCTAAGAGGGAGTAAAAAGACTGCAACCTCTGTTTCCCTTGGCAGTACCAGCACCTACAGGGCTACTGGTTGTGGCGCTATGGAATAACACCATGTACAGATCTTTCTTCCTCCACACTAAGACAAAATGCTTGGGAAACAGAAACAGGTAAAGGCATCCTATATCACATTTTCCTTGGAAGTAAGAAAGAAACTGAAACTCCTTATCCTGTTCAACTACACCACCACAGAGAAAAGCTGGGCTCAATTCCCTCCTTCAAATACTACGTCTTTAAATCAAGACAGGTGGTATGTTTATTAAGGAGGTGTTTCTTAGCTTTTTTAAATGCCTGACTTTTCCTCATGTGAATGTTCTCTTAAAATATGTGTAGTACTGCTGGAACTGCACACTAGAGCAGCGCTATAAGGCTATGCAGCATCTAAAGCTCTTGTGAACAGATAGTTTCCTTGCCCTCTACAAACAGAAAATCAAAATAAAACCTGAATGATAGAGAAGCAATTTCTTATGTTTCTAAGAACTATTCTATTCCACTCAAAAAGCCAAGCATAGCAGAACAGGTAATGACAGGTATTACTAATTATTTCCTATTTCCCCAGGTGTCATTCCTAATATTAGACATTTTTTCCTTATTCAGGAGGAACTCATCTGTATAGACATGACTACATATATATAACTATTATTATTATATATTTATGCCATCTAATTACATATTATAATAAAAATATATATGGCTTATTATTGATAAGCAACAAATTACCACAGACATTTGGATGTCCGAATTTGCTATTTTCCATTTCCAGTGCTTGAACATTTCTTAAATTATTTGCCATTAATTTAAATATATTTAATAATTCTCATGTATTTATCAAATTCACTTTATGGGAAAATTTTCCTCATAACATATACAAAGTATAAATAATGGTTTGTTTCTCAGAACCTAGACATTCATATTTTTATATACAGACTGTAACTGCTATGGGTGTGCTCTGGTGACATATAAAGAGTTTTCTTCCTGACCAAATCTCATTTTAAATGATGAATACAGGCAGTCTGTTTTATAGTTATGCATGTCTGTAAGACTGTTTATGCACTCTTAAATCTTTAGTATCAGTTTAATGAAATGAAGGATATGCAAAAAATTTAGAAAGTGAAAATGAAGTAATCACTTGAATCCTAATTAGGAATATTTGATGCATTTGAATTGCAATATTCAATTCTTGATAAAAACAGGGTGGGATTTTAAGTAGCATAAAAAAGCAGGGAGCTTGGACTCACAGCTCATTTTCATCAAAAGAGAAATCACATGAAGTAGGAAGATTACAAGAAACCAAATGTGGTTTAAAATACTTATTCTGCCTAGTAGTTTCCTCTTAGAGATGATAAAAATCATAGAAGATAAAACTGAATTGAAGAGAGGCTCACTGTTTACTTAAGACTAAAAATCAATTCAACAAGATGGTTAATAACACAAACCAAATTTTTATACCTTAAACATAATCAAAGGGCTGAAGACTTTTTACCTGCATGTCTGGTGATGGAACCTTTTTCCTTTTAAGAAGCATTTATTGGGAGATTCTATACATTCACAGATGCATTTTGCAGGATTTAGTGGCTGATGTTTAGGGCAGGTCTTTTTACATACACACTGACATTTATCTTCATCAAATTCCTTGTTGGGCCCACAGGAAGTGGGGAGAAGTTTATTTTTGCACATGCACTGACATGACGATCTGTCTAATTCTTTGTGAGGTCCACAGCTTGAGGGTCGCACACCTCCTTTGCAGACACATTGACAGGTTTCTTCATCCAGCTCTTTGTTTGGTCCACAAATATGGAATGCTTCAGATGGGTCTAGAAATAGAGCACAGAAATTACAGAATTATAATTTTGTGTTTACCCATTCACCTATTCTAAGTGAAGAAATGCTAGCAAATCCATAACTCTTAAGGTGTTTTAAGAACAGGTATATGTCAAAAGACAGGCAACTACTCTACTAGTAATTGTACTGACAAAGATTCAACTATTACTTTTAATATTTTTAATTTCTCATTTAAGTAAATCAAAACATGGAACTACATTTAAACATTGAAGCAAAACTGCTTACCAGCATCTCCAAGATGGGAAGAGTAACCAAAATCATGCTGTGCCAAACATCTGCAAACTTGATTATTCCAAATATGATTTTTTGGACAGGTTTTGTTTGCCGCATGACACCTGTTGATTGAAATATACTCTTGCTTTACTACCATAAGAACTTGGGAAAAAAAAAAATGAAACCCAAACAATTTTAGGTTGACTGCTTTTGTTTTCCTCCCTTACAAAAACCTAAGAGCTTCAAGCTCATTCATAATCTTATCTTTAACACCTCTCAAATCTGTTGCGAATTAAGTGTTTTCTCCACGACAGGAATCTTCAACCATTTGTTGAAGATACCTTCTTACATTTCAAGTTTTAGCTCTGACTTCTAGAAGCTGATATTTGTACTTTCCAAATATAGTTTGGAAACAGTAATGTAAGTCTTATATAGAAAATAGAGTAGTATAAAAAAATATTTGCATACCAATTTCTGTACAGGTGGAAACAGGCATAATTTTTTATGTTGTTTTTTGAAGTACAAAATTATTTTCACACATACAGATGTCAAAAGAAAACTGGTAATAGTTTCTGAATGAATGCTGTGGACTAAACTGATTTCTAAATCCTGGATAGCTTTCTTGAATCTAAAGATTTGGACTACAGCAGTGATGCCTCTTCGTATTTAAGTCCGTGCTATTTACCTGCTAGAGTTTTGAGTCCAACATAATGGTATCATAGAAAGCATAAAATTGTAACAGCAGCTGGTGCCTTTTTAAAGGATGACTGAACTTAGCTGGTAGGTATACCACAGTTAGGATATTTATGTGTATTACCTTCCTTTGCTTGCAATTTCTTTATCATCACAGGTTACATTAGAACTTTTAACAAGTCAAACCTAACGTCATGCATCCAGGCTGTGTTATTTATTCATTGTTCCTGTAGTATTCCGACAGTTTTCATCTGTTAAGGCAGCACATACGTTATACATTATACATTTGAAGCACTTTTCATTCCCCTGAGCACCATTACTCAAGCATTCAAAAATGCAGGTGCTGGGACATTCTTCCATACTCATCATTCAAATATACCACTCCCCTACACCACATTAGACTACTCTGTTGTAAAGACTGCTGTAATTTAACATCACCCTGCATCACCTCATGTTTTATCAAGCTGGTGTTTCCTGATTTCATTCCTCTAATGATCTCACTCTTGCTCCCTCACTTGGCACATGTCCTTTTGCCTGCCTCCTGATTCTGCTTGGAAAATAGGGATAATTTACAGACACATTATTGTATTCCCTTTTAGAAAACAACAAATCATTCACACCTGGAGCAGCCTGGCTCTAGCTGGAAGTACAAAAAAAACCTAAACCACCAAGTACACATGAACCCATGAAAACACAATACTGATACAAACCCTAAATTACCAAAACTTGAAGAGAACGATATGTATGCCAGCATCAGGATTGGAGACATACAGCAAAAGAAAGTGCAAATGTTTGTTTACAAATTCTACTCTGGTTGCTAGTACAGAAAATGACCGGGGGATATGGCTGAAATGTTAAAACGACTTACTGTAACATTTCAGAAAGTTCAGGAAGGCTAAAAAAAAAAAAAAAAATCAGAAAAAATACGAGAGGCAAAACCACTTTACAGATAATTTCACTGCCTCTTTCCAAATCATTGTCAACTCAACTAAAGCATGCTAACTTGTTACTTGTCAGTGTCAGCACAGATAACGTGTAAGAGCGGGAAACATACGTGTACAGTATACATCCAAACCACATCTAAAATATGCTTATTGGCTCTGTAAGCACCTACCTACAATCAATGAGGGAAAAAAATGTCATTATAGAGACTTGATCTGAATTATGAATATTAAAGGCTCCTCTGGTCCCCCTGCCAAAATTGCTAAACTTCTAAAATAGCGACAATTTTCTCAGTTGCACATCTTGATGACATTGTATATGAACAGAGAAGAGTACACTTTAAAACACCATTAATAGAGGAGGTATTCTGAAACACCAGTTAACATGAACTGACATGCCTCAGCTCTGCAAGCATCTAGAAGTAGCTACTACTTTTTAGAAGGAAAAGGAAGAAAATAGTGGGAGAACAGGCAAAGACTTAACATTAATTGTCAGGATAAAATTGTGTAGAAAATATATTTTATATAAAAAAAGATTGACTATTTGTTTTCTATCTTACATGTCATGTCACTCTTCTTTTTAACATGTGCCTGTGCATTGTGGCATAATCCAGCCTTGAATTCTTATTAGATCCCAAGTGTTACAACACTAAAAGCAGAGATTATACTCTTAGGCTTTTCTTCTCAGTAATACATAAGGAAGTCATTAATATATTTTGTTAAAAAGAGCATGTACATAAATACATGCACACATGCAGATCTGCCACTGTGACAAGAAAGTATCTTTCCTATCTAGACTCTAAAAGCAGGTAGTTTGGGGTTTTGGTGGGTTTTTTGTTTGTTTGTTTGTTTGTTTCTATTTCATTGTAGAGAGCCATAGATTTTAAACTTAAAAGACAGTACTTAACAGTAGAGAAGGCCTATATATATATTCTGATCTAGTACTACTTTGTCTTACCTTTGTTGGAGCATAATTCCTTACTTAAAGAACAGTTGACTGTGAGTGCTGGTCAAAGTCTTTTATCTGCATTCTTACTTCCCTCTAACTACAGGTAGATGTTTCCCATCTAGAATAAACTCTTGTACTGGTAATTACAACTGCTTTTAACCTGGAAGCACTTAGAAATTGCCAGCAGTCAGCATAATTTAACTTTATTATTGACTCTTGAGGTTTTTTTTTTTTAAACAATCTGTTAATTGTGCAATAATTAAACTATTACTAGATTTATTTTCTAATAATTTTCTAATTTACTGTTTATGATCCATGTTTTGATGAACAAATGCGGTAATGTGAATCCAAATAGAATATAATCTGTTTAGCTGCAACATGTCAGAAAACATCCAGATTTTAACTGAATGAAAACAGGGAAAACAAGGTAGCTTACATCTGTGGGCATTTTGCACTATTCATTCACATTATTAAAAATGTCTACACTTAATTCCAGTTCAGCTTTTAGTCATTGATTCTTCCATAAAGCAGCTGTTTTTCTGTTACTTTTTTTTTTCCTCCTAAATATTTATGCATCATAAAATTATCACTCAGTCCTCTAAAATGAAGGAAAAGAGCTCTTCAAGTGTTTCAATAACACTTGCTTCAGTGCCAGATTTCTTTTTAAATTCAGAATCACTAAAAAAAAAATCAATATGTTAATTATGTGAACTGTCAATTAACCCTTTATTTTCCCTTTCCATTCTGTTCTCACCTCTGGCATATAAAGATGTCCAAAAAGACTTGTAGATAAAGATTCCATAAAAACAGACCTTTCTTTTTTTTTTATTTTAACAGCATTTGAAATAGGAAAATACAGTTAAGAGAGAAATGTTGTCTACTCCTCATTTGCAAAAGGAAATATTTTTAGGTTTTCTTGATTACTTGTTTTTTTTAAGAAGTTGTTTTTATTGATGATTCCTTTAAGCCTCAATTGCATTTTAGCTCTTTCTATGAAAAAATTCCCCACAAACAATTTTTCATTTTTAAATCACTTAGCCCCAGTTTATTCACTGGGTAAAAAGGTAATGTTATTTTAGTACACTCTCTTCATGTAAAACAGGTCCTTTGCAAAATGCATTCTGCTGCTACTAATGTGTAATTCACGTAGTAACTAAGTCACACACAGTATCACAGTATGCTGGAGATTGGAAGGGACCTATTTAATTGTGAAAGCTTCCAGCAATATTTTATATCTAATTATATAGGCTTGCTCATAATATGAAAAGAAAGACAAGTCTCATACTTACTGAGTTTGTGTTGCTGGCAAGGAACGTCTTATGATGGAATGAACTTGTCTGTAAACATCCAACTTCGACATGCATCGGCAGGACGTGTGATTGGCAAAGCTGACGGTTACAGGTTTGGGGCCATGAGAAAGAGGCACTGTGATCTCAAATAACTATAAAAGGGAAAGAAAAGAAAAGAACTTTTTTTTTTTTATATACATCAGTAACAGTACAACTAAAAATAACATAAGGACATACAGAAAAAGCTATAAGGAATTTAAGTTTAGGGTTTTGTTATCTACCATCATTATGTGGCACATTCAATTATGCCACTAAATAATCATTATGTGCAAAATAAATACAGTAGCTATGGTATGACAATTAACACTTTTAGGGTTAAAGCCTATCATGTGCCTGTTTGCCTACTATAACATTTAAGCTAAAAGAGGAAAATGTACTAAAATCTCATTTCTCTAGAGGAAATGCCTTCAAATTGGCAGTCTTCAAAAATCTAAAATTTAACATTTGGAAAATGCTTCAAAAAGTTGGAAAACAAGAATAACATTAAAAGGGGGTAAGCTAAAACCTAAGGCATCAGTTGCACAATCACAAAAGCTTGTGTAAAACAGCAATATATTGGACTTAGATCAAAATATTTTTGGATGAACAAGTTCTGAACTGCAGCATACTGTACTTCTGACTTGCCAGTGTTTCTATTGATGCAAATTATATGGTTACCCTAACAGAATTTATATTGAACTTCCCCCCCCCCCCAAGATATTAAGAAATATCCACTACTAAGAAAATAATCATGTATGTGAATGAATAAAATCCTAATTCTAGTGGTAAATGTAATTCAACTGGTGAAAGAGGACAACTTCAACAATATCTTGTAGAAAAACTGAACATGTGATAACAGACAAACAATGAGACTCATTTCAGTATTTAATTTGGGACATCTACTTTATCAAGTTAAGAAGGTTTCATTGTATGACTCAGTAGTCTCCTGAAATAGTATATATTTGAGAAAATATATGCTGCGTTCTTTGGGTAACTTTAATCAGATGACAAAACTTACATACATATACAAGGTTTGTATCTTGTTTAAACAAGTTGTGCTTTCAGGACAGTACAAGTGTTGAGACCTCTGAAAATCTAGACAGCTAAGAATACAGATGTAACAGCCTTTACTATATTAAATATCTCGTAAGAAAATGTATCCTTAAAAGACATGTATGAATTGCAGGATAGAACAAAGAGTATGAACTTAATTAGTATATTACACATGTAAAGTGAAACTTGTTTGCTCTCTTATGACAGTATGAACTTTCTTTTCAGAAGTTGAAGTAAAAATCCACTACAGGGAGAACTGATAAAACTTAGAAAGTGAATATAAGAATGATTCTTCAAGTCCCTGTCAGCCCAACTGTACTCCTGTTTGGCTTCAGGAGCACGCTGAGAGAAATTTCTATAACACACATACAAACTGCGAGTATAAATGACAGTGAACATGAATCTACATTTATCCTTCTTATTTAATCTACATTTATCCTTCAATTTAAACTGCAACAGGTATCAGTTTAGAGAGCAATATTACTAACATCTGTTCCCATCAGCACTTTAATGGTGCAATGCAAAACAAGCCTAGCTAAACAGTGCAAAAGTAGACTAGCTTCCTTGATCTTATTGAATTACCTGCAGTTTGTTCAACTAAATTCTCTTAATAACAATGTATTTTACATCACCCAACAGTAGCTACTGCTTATATAAAGTCAAAAAACTTAAATCAGCCATTTAAATTAGAGATTATAACATAATATATTAGGTATTACATTTCTAGTCCTCACTTTTGGAAAGTGCTTGATACATGAACTAGCATTTTGAAAAAAAATATAAACCAGCTCTATTTTCATTACTAGAAATGATGGAAGTGAAATAATAGGATTGGAATTGTTGATTTGTCCTTCCTATACTTTTGTCTGTACATGCTATTAGGATACTATAGCCTGATGCATACTGAAAAGGAGATATTTATTCTTCTCTTCTGATAATGAAAATATATCAAGAAGAGACCACAAGAAACTAATTCTTGAAAAGTAGTTTGTTACAGAAAAAGTATTTAATATTCAGAATAATTCAGTTTAAATAATCTATGGCATTTTAAAATAAGATCCATTCTACAGAAAATCTATATTATGCTCTCAGCTGTGTTGTGCTCCCTAAATCCAATGAAGCTATTTAAGTGTAAGTGAATCAATTCTCAAAATGCATAAGATGGGTTTGAATTATCACCTTAATAAATCATTTCAAACTAGGCAAGATCAGACCTTGCGTAATGCTATTTTTGCCAACATCTCTAATTTATTTCTTGCTCATCTTTCTCATCCAACAGAACAATAAGCTCAACACTCGTTGTCACTACAGGGCATATCTGGCAACATATAACAGCTGAACGTCAACATCTAGAAAGGATATTTCTATGAGAAGTGCACCATAACATTTATGTAGGAAAGGCTGGTTCTTGACTCCCTTCTTTTCTGGCATCAGTGCTGGCTGCGGGTACCATTGTTTGTTGCCACACTGCCCTAATGGGTACCTCTTATTGGACAGAAGATAGCTTATATTTCTGTCTGATCCCTCATTCAGTAAAGGATTTGTTTTAACCGTATTCTTAAGGGACTGAATCTTCTCTTCTCTCCCAACTTCAAATGATAGTAAAAATCTGACTAATTCATACTACAGGCAATGGAGAAAAGACATTTCATTCAGGTCAGTTCTTCAGAGACCAATGCCTGAAGACAGATATTCAGGAATAAAGACTGCAAAGACTGAACTCCATTTGCCAAAAGAACATGAGATCTGAAAGGAGTAGGGATTAGGGCAGTTTTTTCAAAGGGGAGAGCTTTCATTCCTTGCAGTTTTCAGAAAAATGTTAGTAATTATAGTACATTGTGAGTGTTGCCAGAGTTAGAAGCAAACACTCAAAAGCTAGAAGAAAAAAAACTAGACTCAACTTGCTTATGCAGCCCTGTACATTTGTGCTACCAACACTGCATTGCCACGAATCCAGCGGAAATCAAGTGCTGAAGAAATGTGTAAGACAGTAACTAAAAAGTATCATATATAACAAAAAAACAAACTCCATAACCCGAATAAACAAAACCACAAAATCATAGTTGAAGCTCAATCCTAACCTTTTCCATAGAAGTTAATATCATAAGCATAAGTCAGTAACATGCGGTTAATATCAATGCGTAACACATATTAATGGAAGCTCTATGTAACTGAAGAATAGTTGAAAGCCATACACAGTTAATGCATTTCAGAAGAACCTAACACATACCATTCAGCTAGTCTAAGGCTGTTTTGTCACAGAAAGCCAGATGGCAGGTCTTTCCTACAGTCTTTTCCACCCTATCCAACATTTCAATGTACTGTGTTCAGTCCTCATCTCCTTAGGTCTTCACCCAATATGATTCTCCATGCTAACCTCCCATCATTTCAGCCCAGCCCAATTTTCCCTTTCAGCCAGCACATCAAACTTGATTTCCCTTTCCTCTTTTTGGGTTCCTTAGCATAATTTTTAGCATTCTTTCACACACATGCCTTGTCCCAGCCACTTTTGGATGAACCAGATTCCTTCCTTCCCCAAAAGATAAAGGAGAGTGTATTAATGACAGGCTCTTCGTAGAAGATGGAACTGCATCAGATTTTTGTTGAGCTCCAAGTTACAAAATCTTCTAGTTAAAAATAAACCTGAGTCTCCCAACAATTCCATTTGCCTCCCTAAGTCTTTTCTTTTAACGCTTAAAAGCAAACAGATTGTCTGAAAGATACCAAAACACAAATTCCTCATACAAAACCCTCAAGTATTATATTCTTTACCTAAAATGAGAAAACATGAAAAATTTTTTGATATAAAAAAAAAAAAATCACAATTTCTGTTTTAACAATAAAGCCATATACACTTCTTTCTCACTCTGGTCTAAGAAAATGCAGAACCACAAATTTTTCTGTAGTTTTAAAGAAAAAAAACACATCAAGCTGCATCTGGCAGAGAAAATTTCACTCCCTCTTGTTAATGAATAGCAAAATCAGGATAAGAATGACAAGAGAGTTTATAATGGAGTATGTTGGATAACCTCAGTATTAGGTTACTTAAACTAGAATTGTTTATCATGGAACAAGGTTATTTGAGACTATAGAATCATTTGGGTTGGAAGGAACTTTCAAAGCTCATCTAGTCCAACCCCCCTGCAATGAGCAAGGACATCTTCAACCAGATCAGGTTGCTCAGAACCACATCCAGATGGGCTCTGAATGCTTCCAGGGATGGCATATCCCCCACCTCTCTGCACAACCTCTGCCAGTATTCTACCACCTTCATTGTAAAGAAATTTTTCCTCACATCCAGCTTGAATCTCCCCTCTGATATTGGTCATTATATTGATACATCTCTGGTAAAGGAAACATGATGTTCTTGGTGTTAATAACTGAGCTTCCTTATAACAGTCCCCATCTTTATGTCATGAAGAAATGCAAGTCTTTCTTACAGTAAATGGCTTAAATATAAATGTGTGCTAAACCCATGACAGTCATTGGTACTCTATGGATTTAAAAACAAAATCAAACAAAAGTTTTGGTTACAGGACAATTTTTTAAATTATTTATTAAGGATATGTATTTTCCGTAGTTCCCACTGTCTAGCCAAACTAGAAATGTTAATTTTCAAATATACAGGAAGGTAATTTTTCTTCATGCACTTGGATTACATAATCTGCAATAAGGAGTATTTTAAGCTTAATCCTTACCCTTTGTTCCACTGCACCAGACAAAATTAAAAGGCAGCAGCTTATCCTACAGACCCAAACATCAGCTTCTTGTACTTGTACTTTCTGCCCCCTTGTACAGACAGGTACGTTATTAAAGAACTTTTCTGACTAATACAAAGGTAAATGAATAAGCACACCACTTTTACAACTATGCACGCAACTACAAACAATTTTTTCCCTGGATTTTCATTCTTTTGCCATCAGGTTTTTTAAATCCTTGAAGATCAGTACAATATCAAGTAAGAAGTGCTGCAAGAGGACACTAGGCAAAAGTGAGTCCTAATTGCTCTACCCAACCAGACTTGGTGTTTGGCACTCCACAACCTGCCATTACCGTGAGCCATGTGTACCAGGGTCCCCCTTTTTCCCAGCTTTGTTATTTGTTCAGCCATCCTATCAGAAGTGTCTAGGCCAGAGCTGTGTGGTCCCACAGACCATCCCTGTAGTAGGCTCTTTTCTGTTCTCATACTGGCAACGCTCTTCCTTTAGCCAGTTAGTTACAGAGTTGGAGTGGAGAACAGCAACAAGAGTGGGACCATAGCTGGGTCCACAACCTATAGCTCAGCATGATTTTAAGCTTAAAAAAAAACTCCAAGCCCCCAAAACACAAAAATAGCTAACAGCTTGACCAAAAGCACTATCAGAATGCCTTCTGAAAAAAATTCCCATGTAATCCTCCACACTGATCCTTATAAAGGCATGTACTTTTGATTTACTGCACTGATAGCTCCTTCTTTAAACTAGAAGGACTTAATGCCATACTTTCTAAAAAAAAACCCCCACAACAAACCCCTGTTGATTTCTATATGAAGTATTTATTTGCTTCAGTGGCTAATTTATTCAACACTATCATCATATGTGCCATTGTATCAGCACACATAAAATTATTATGATCTCTGACTTCTGAAATATAAAACAATCAAAACTGTTATTTCCATACCAGGATAAGGAAAGCTTGTAATTCCAGATACTTTTCAAATACAGGATTTATGTATTATTTTTTCCCAGATTTACATTAAGTACACTATATTCTTCTGATGGACTGTGGTTTATTTTGGCAAGTTTCCCTTAAATTGATTGACTCCTAGTTTCCATCACTTGTGATCTTTGTGCTTCCTAAAGTGTCAGTAAGGCTGGCCAAACATAATGAGCGTAACAGAGCACAATGTGTCTAGAGAAGTTTTTAAGCTAAGGATGTAAGACTGTTTGATTTCAAAACTCTAAATATTTCTATACTGGAAAGAATGAAAATGAGCTATTTGAAAAATGGTAAATCATCTTTATTTATTTTACCATCTTTCTTGACAAAACAGTATTTCAAGGCTTATGTGTAACCTATTCAAGGCAACAGGTAACCTATCTGATACATTTCATATCTGATTAATATGCTTAATTAGTATACTCAATCTTTTTATATTTGAATCACTTTTCAAAATATCTTTTAACAAAAAGCATTTGGAAATTATAATGATGTATCTCCCACTATTAATAGTACCTACTATATCGATCATTACCGTCTTAAATCTAAAATAGAAAAATGGATGGCATAAATGGTGAAGTTCAAAACTGAAAATTCTTGTGACATATGCATCTCCAAATCATGTAAGGGAACTCCATGTACATATCAAATATGGAAAACCATTTCAAACTGTTAACTTGTTTCCTGGGAGAAAAGCTCCTCTAAATCTATTTTCAAATTACTTTGAAACATGCTTTCTCTTGAGGAATTATTACTGTAAACATGAAAAAGGAAGATTTAGGACCTTTACATCATATGATCTGAAAGAAGTCAAAAAACTGTCCATCCTGCCAGCTAAGAGGAAGAATGGAATGAGACGGTTCTCTGCCATCTGCTTACTGCTTCAATGTATCTACATGGCATAAAAAAGTGCGACTGGATAGGATGTTGCTCCACCAGGTAGTTCCTATCTTTGTAACTCCTATTGAATTGCTCATGTCATGGAAATGGAGAATAACTGTTTGACTAATAAATTAAGAGGAAAAACCAACACAACCACACCACAAAACAAAAATAAAAAAAAAAACAAAAATCAAAAAAAACCACTTTCCCATCAGACCTTTACTAGACAAGCCACCACTTACAAAGTTGGGCTACTGCAGTGTCACAGATAAAGGAAAAGTTCTACTGAATTTTATGCATTAGCCTAGGGGATCAAATGTTTTCATATTCCTTGTACCACACCTCTAATTAAGAAATTTTCTCATGTCCAAATCATAACTGTACAAACACCCTTTTGCAACTACAGAAACAGGTTTTGTGGGGAAAATGGTATTAAAAGCAAAGCAGAATACTGTTCCATTTTTCACTTAACAAAGTTGAGTAGCTAGAAAGGAGGAACACAGTCTGAACTGGAGAACTACTGACCTCTCTCCAGACCACCACAGTGTTCCACAAGCCAATCTGGGAACATCCGACCTAATCCATTCACCTGGCAATCAATGATTTGCTCCCCATAAAAATAATTTATATGCTTAGCTCTTTTCAATTATTTTTTATTAAAGCTGATATCAATTTCTTTTCGGTTTTAATGTCTGGAACCAACGCGAGAGCTTGCCCTCACAGTAAAACCTCCAGCTGAAAAGTTAATTTCCCATTAAGCACTTTTTCTGCTGGGTGAACAGTATGAAGTTATCTTAGGGAGTTTATGCACTGTTTATAAAGTTTCAAAAATGGTGACTTACGAAAAGCCAGAAGATAGCTGGTTAACTAACCATAAATTCTCTTTTCATTCAGGAAATAAAAGGAAAACAGTAGTGAAAATAGGTGTGTAGGGTACCTGAATTCCACAGAAGGGTCTTGAATCCAATACTTTTTTCTTCCTAATTCTCATCTGATATAGGGGTAAGCTGTGGTCACATAACTTTAAAAATATTTGAGATGATGACAGATGAAGAGATATAGCTATAGCTCTCTTCCTTTATTAAGGGTTTTTTTAAAACTGCATTCTGTCAAGGACCAGATAAAACTGGAAAGCAGAAGCAAGATAGAAAACTCAGAGATTAAACTGCTTGCTTTTACAGAATCAGTTAAGAAAACAAAACAATGCTATTGCCTCTTTCTTCTTTCTAGTAAGTCCTTTAACATTTTCCTTTCCAGAGTCTCTCAAATCTTTAACTACTCCTATATCATATCATCACCAATGACATCAAGATCTTAAAAAAGAAACTTAGCACTAAACATTTTCAACTAGGACAGAAAATGTACTAAATGTTTTCTGTATATCCCGTTTTTCTAATTCCCTCTCAAGAAGGCTCAGAGCACTAAGAAGTTTAATGATAAAGGAATGACATTTCTATGGGCTACAATTTTAAAGTTGGTTATGCAGTTGTGTGTCTTCCTTATAAATATGTACTGCATCTTCAGCTAGTTGAAAAAGGAAGTAAGATTTACACTAAAATTAGTTTTCTTCAAGGTATCAGAATGATGAGATAAAAAGCAAAAACCCACAATCAACAAAAATACTACCAAGTACTGGAACAAAAGCAAAATATTCTAGAAAACATTTTGAAGCATAGCTATTTTTATAGGATTTTTGAGAGAAAAGTTGCAAAATAATTGTAAAAATTGTTACAGCTACTTATGTACTACATATATGTTATAGCATGCATGCTTTTTCTTTTAAAGGCAGCTCACAGGCTTAGTGTACAACCTCTGCATACTCCTACCTCATCACTAGCCTTGAAGACTAAAACCCACACATATACCTGAAGGAGATGGATTAAACAAAATTAATAGGTAAATTACACTAATATTTCTTAATACAGTAAAATTCAGTTCCTAAAAGGCCTTATTTGCAACATGTATCCTATTTGCACATGTCCTGAAACAGTCTTTTTCTTCACTGATAAAAATACAGGCTAGTTTTTCAGAGTGCTTGCTTCATACATGAGGCAAATGGTAGATGAGAAAAAAAAGGGGAACATCACATTTTTTCCCCTAAAAATAATAAACAGATATATATTTAGGGGGAAATAGCATTAAACGCTTTCTTCCAGGAAGTAGTCTCTTCAGCTGTTTTTTCTATGTATTCTGGAATTGATTTTTTTCTCTTCTCACAATCGCAATAACAAGGTTTAAAAAATGCATGATCATAAATGGAATTGCAAGATGCACTCAAATTGTAGTAAAAGTAAGAACTTACTGTCTTGCTGATGTAACTTGTGCTGATATTCATACACTGGAGTCCTTCACTATTGCAGCAACCTCCACATCTGTAGATGGATACACATGGGGGTTTAAAGAAGGTGTTTGTAGTTGCTCCAAACTCTTTTCCCACATCCACACACACTTCACGTGGCATGCACTGAGTTTTTCTCCATTCAGTATCAATACCTGCCAAGTTATAGGGAATTTCATGTGTTATAAAGTAACTGTTTAAAAACAATACTCTCCTGCAGTAAATTAGTAGGATTTTTTTTAAAGTTTAGAACCAGAATATGCACTGCTCATTCTCAGACCCTTTATTCAGTGAAATACACAACTCTTAATTTCTAGCTAATGTTTCTTCTCCGTAGGGATGTGACATACTGTCATGGAGCAGAAGGCAAGTGACAGAAAAGGCAACATAACAGAGCTGGGGAGAGCTTATGACGTAGAATCATAGAAAGGTTTGAGTTGGAAGGGACCTTTAAAGGTCATCTAATCCAACCCTCCTGCAGTGCGCAGGGACATTTTTAACTAGATCAGGTTGCTCAGAGCCCCATCCAGCCTGACTCTGAATGTTTCCTGGGGTGGGCATCCACAGCTTCTCTGAGCAACCTGTTCCAGTGTCTTAACACCCTCATTGTAAAATATTTTTTCCTTATATCTCATCTAAATCTACCCTCTTTTAGTTTAAACCATTACTCCTTGTCCAGCTGCAACAGGTACCACTAAAAAGTCTGTCACCATCTTTCTTATAAGCCCCCTTTATCTAATGAAAGGCCATAACTAGGTCTTCCCGGAGCCTTCTCCAGGCTGAACAAGCCCAACTCTCTCAGTCCATCTTCATAGGAGAGGTGTTCCAGTCCTCTGAGCAACTTTGTGGCCCTCCTCTGGACCTGCTCCAACAGGTCCAAGTCCTTCCACTGTTGGGGGCCCCAGAGCTGAACACAGTATTCCAGGTGGGGTCTTGAAGAGAAGAGTACAGTGGGAGAATCATCTCCCTCGACCTCCTAGCCAGCAGCTGAAGCTGTACATACCCTTTCTTGTGTGCCTGGGCTTCCTTACCTTGACTGAAGACTAAAGAAGTACTGCATATCTCTGCAAAATAATTTTTAACCAGTCCCACACAGTACTTCCCTTGGATACTATATATTAGAAGCAATAAATCTGATGCCTAAGCTTGAATACATTTACTTTGAATACTACAAAAGTACAATTTAAAGCAAAAGGTCAGCAATTATACACATCATAAAATTTAATCTGAAAGGTGCTATTTGTGCCCAGATTATTCACGTAAATTTGGGCAAACATTTCACATCATGTTATCCAGCCTTTTATCAAATACAATCTTACATGAAACACCCATTAGACTTGCAGCTGTACAGATCCCTTTATTCTCTCCTGGAGCTAGTTCTTGAGAGGCTATTCAGCAAAAATGGAAATTTCACCTAATGCATAACTTAAAGTCTCCATTAAGTACATGATTTCCAGCATCATGTCAAAAAATACACTTCCTGCTATAAATCCTGTGTTTCTCTGCTTGCAAGCGCTTACTTAAACTGTAAGCTATTATGTTTTTATCCAGGCCATCTGAAACACTTCAGACGTATTTGTTTCAAGCTGTTTTTTTTCTGGTTTGAGCATAACATGACAACTACCCTTTTGCAACAGGAAAAACCTACAAGTGCATTATTTGGTGTCCTAAAGTAGTAACATGCAAGAGAAGAAAGCTTTACCAGCTGTGATGTAATCACAGAAAATGAGCAGAAACTGTTCAATGAATCCGATTATTAGTGCCCTCTTTGCTTTCTGCAAAATTATTACAGCCTTTATAAAGCAGGATTCACCCTTCTTACAATCGATATACTAAAAATATGTCTGCAGAGCAATTTGTTACATTTTGGAAGTTGATTGTCAAGGATTTTGTATTACAAACATGACATCAAATCAAACTGCTGAGGTTGGTTTACTGACAATGCTTAGCTTTTAAAGTCTTTCTGACACAACTGAGAAGCCTTCAGATTTTAATTCGTTGTGTGTTAGAACACAGTTTGTGCCCTGTACTTACTTTTCAGGATGTCTGCATTATAGTGTGCTGCGGCAAATTTCAGGGAATCATCTGATCTTGTGTCAAAGCTGGAGTGTTCCCTGTTGTGTTGCCAACCTCCTTTCCTCAACTGACATTTGAACATTTTCCAGTACTCTGGGTAAAGTACTGTCATGAGTTCATCCACACTGGACACAGACCGCAACTGCTCTTCCAGGTCTTTGCCTGCATGAGCCTGTGAAAGTAACATGCAAGATTAATTACTTTCTCTATGACACAAGGTTTGTTGGAAACTAGCCTGAAAAACACCTCCTATATTGTAAAATAAAAATGTGCTCAAAGGGGTCCTCATTATAAAAACTGCTTTTGTCAGTCAATGCCAACAGTACTACATTAAGAAATACTGAAATGTTTTGCTTCTGTCACTAATTCTTTATCACATTTGTAATTCAAAATACCTTTGTGAGAAAACAGGTACAGCATTAAGCCAATACAGATATTATAGTTTAGAGATTAATGCATTTTTATCTTGGAAAGAAAAGTTTTCATGCTAAAATCGTGAATGCTTAAACTTCAAAATATTTAAATTATGTTTATGTCATTTAATACTACATACTCTTGAAATAACACCAACTTTTTTTGCTTATTTTCCCCTAAACCAGGAAAATCGAAACACCTAGAAACACAAAAACAATTTTAAAAAAGGAAGAAAATAATTCATGTTATTTTGTACCTTTTTAGGGAAAATCTTACTAAACAAATTCTGTTATACAGCACTAATCCCGAAATCAGTAGGAGTCAAGGACTTTGGTAGCTTTCAGAATCTGAACAGCAAACTCCCTCACTCCTAAGAGTTTCAACTGAAACTCTTTAGGACTCTAAGCACTACATTCCTTAACTTGTTTTTACAGTAGCCTCAAATCCTGTAATCTCGCTTTCTTACTTGCTGGCTTTTACACAAACACTGCAATTGCATCTTCCTAAAATACTACAACTCACATTTACATTCTAATTTCTCACTTACCTGGAAGATCCCTCTATCCTCTTGGATGAAACAACATCCTGCATCAAAAGACCGTCGTTATTCCCTGCCCACTCTTCTCATCCATGAATTGCTGACTTCCCAAAGGGAAGGGCAGGACAGAGAAAGAATTGAAGAACCTTTAGCCACCTTCTCAGCCTACATGGCCCTTAGATGGCAGTATGAGACACCAAATCCAGAGACACAAAATCACTGTGAAACACGTCCAGCAGCTGGCTGCAGATTTACTACAAAACTATTGCTCTAGCCCAGGGAACACTAGGCTGTTCCTAAACCCAGGAATATGTAACTACAGAAACTGAAATTTCAGATTCCTCATTAAACTCCACTACTAACAAAAAGTCATTCAATTCAGTGATTTTGAACACTACAGGAGCAACACAACCAGTTCCAAACTAGCTCACCTGAATCAAAACTGCTCCTTTTCTGATAAACAACTGAAAAGGTACCAAATGGCTCCTGCTGTCACATTCACTTCCTTATCAGGTGTCAAATACAGGAGAAACGCCTTGGGGTAAGGCAGATTCACAGAAGTCATTTCCATAAATACAGTTAAATACAGGAGCCAAAGCTAATACAGATTTCAAAGTCATTTTATGTGTCCAAGAGTTAACAAATTTGAAAGTTCTCTCACTAAAGCCTCCCTAACCACAGTGTCATGACAAACTACTCTGGCCTGAGAGATTTCAACAACCAAGCTATCAGTCTTGGAAATACGCTCATTCAGGACTTCATCTCTTTCCTTGCCTCCGTAAGAAGGGCCCTCTCTGACGCAAGCCACCCAGCAAGCAGTATCTTGGGGCCTTGCCTTCCGATTCACTGGCAACACAGAACATCTCACTTCCCATCAGCCCTGCTCTCCTGGAAGGATGCCACACAGGTTCCTGATCACAGACAAAAACCCAAGCTGAACAAACTACTAATTCGGCCACTGTCTGCTTGCTTTCATTTCTTGAGAGGTGAGAAGAGCAGGGTTTGAGCAGCCTCATTCCTGACAGACTGTTTCCTGAGGGTGCTGCAGCGCATGCCTTGGGTAATAGGAATGAGGTCACTGCCAGTACACCAAATGCCAGTGTTGCAGATGCATGTCTGCCACATGATGGGAATATGAGTGGCACGTGAGGTCATGGCATGGAGACAGCATGTATATCCTGTCACAAGGCTTGATGCCAGTCCATTACATATGGATGAAACCTTTAAAAGTGGTCTGATGAATCCTTTAAAAGCCTCTGCCACCCACTGTAGATAAATGTTGGTTATTGCTATTTCAGATATTCAAAGTACAGGCCTAGATCATCAGAAAAATAAGTAACAAAAGTTGAAATCACTTCATTGATAAGAAGCCAGGGTATAGAGCAGGAAAGAGGTTATATTTGTTAGAAGTAGTATGTGTTGGTGCAATCTTTTTTGGTCAGGAAATCAAGTCATGCCTTTCCAGCTGGACCGAAAATTCGGTATCCACATATAAAATATGTATGACTAAAAGTCAAAATACAAAAGAATTAGTGGCTTTAACAGAGTTTTGTATCAAATTCAATCAAGTATTGTTTCCAACTGCATTTCTTTCTGGATATTGCATGGGCACAAGCACCCTGTGTCTACAAGATGAAGTGCTCACTTTATGTGAACAAAAGGAAAACAATTTCTGGAGCAGACATATAAAACTACTGGGGTTTTGGCTTGGGCTTTTTTTTTTTTTTTTTAGATTAATCATCACTATTGCATCCGAATTATTTTGTGCTTAGTTTAATAAAGCCACTTGCTTGTAACCATGGCTTCAATTAAAACCTACACTGTGAAAAACCAACTTGATTGCTAAAGGGCTTTTGTTCTCTCCCCTCTTCTGATTTAGCAAGAAAGGGAGAAGGAAACCCATACATTTGTAATAAATAAAGGACCTGCAGTGACCAGAGCTAGAAAGAAAAAACAAATAGAAAAAAAGTTGATTTTCTTTCAACGTTTCCAATATTACCTTGACACACAGATCAGTGACCTCTTCCCAAAATGTTCATTGTAAGTCTATGTATTTTAACTGTAGCAAAATTGCTCTCACCTGTGTCAAAATGTTTCATGGCACATACCTAAGGACCTTGTGGAGTGATTCAATTTTGTCTAACAGTCAAACTTTGACATAAACATCAAATAAAATCTTAAGTTCTGATCGATCAGAAGAGTGTGTCCTGCATACAATAAAAGCATCAGATCATTAAGGATTGCTAAAAAGAGTTCCTAGATTTTTAGGAGATGAATGCAACTGCTTCTGTAAATGTAACAGTTGTCTGGCAACATTTTCATTTTGTGCTAATTTTGGTTAATGTGAAAAAAATACACTGACTCAGGCCCTACCTTTTATCCCAGATTCTTTGCTGGCTCTTAACTGTGCACTGGCTTTTAGTATAGGACACTGAAAAAAATAATTAAAACCTCAAAACTTTTTTTCCAGTGGAAATCCAGACACCTGCACAAAATTTATGACAGACACACCTCCATAAGTATGTGCTAGAAATCAGAGCTCTAATTTTTCACTTATCTTATTCAAGTCCAGATTAGTGAAGTTTAGGAAGAAATACAGTCTGTAGATGCAAGTTAATGTCACACTAATAAGCTGGTTATTCCCAAATATAATCTTAAATAAATAAATAAAAAAAAAATTGTTCTATTGTCTGAAAATACTATAATGTTAACAAAGATTGTGATAAGAGAAATTCTACAATTTTTAGGACCAAAGTAAGCTTTTTGATGAATCATAGAATGGCTTGGGTTGGAGGTGTCCTTAAAGATCATCTAGTTCCAAACCCCTGGCCACAGGCAGCAAAACATTCCATTAGACCAGGTTGATTTTCATGTCATCAGTTGCAGTGCTCTCCACATAAAATCCTAGACCAACTGCTCAAGGTTCTTCTGGCAAGACGTTCTGGGATCTATACTCTACATTGAGAAGGAAGCAGGAAATAGTGCCATCAGTGCCTGTAGAGGAAAGAGTTATCTCTGTCCCATGTTTTCTATTTTCTTTGCTGTTTTAAATCAGTTAAGGGGTTGGGTTTTGTGCCTCCCTCCTTTACCTCCCCCTTTTTTTTTTACCACCACTCCTTTTGTAAGCACTTATCTCTGTCCTTTGGTTGGCCATTCTGTGTTTGGGTTTTTTTTGTTTTGTTTTTGTCATTTTCACATATTATCAATGTTGTCTTGCACGACCACCTAAAAACGCTAGAGGCTATATTCTGGAAAAAGATGTTTGTTAAACCTTCGACTAGCCAGTCTCTGCAAGTTAATAGATGATACTGAGCAAAATAACAACTTGAAAACACAAGAATGAATGGAGAATACAGTAAAGACAAGCTTGCTCATTTCACTTCTTCCACATTATTTCCCAGAACAGAGGAAAATGACAAACACACATATAAATCAGGCAGTAAAGCTTGATGACAAGCACTCTCAACTTATGATTTTATAGAATAAGATGTTCCTAATTTTCACAATGTGGCTTTCCATCATATATTATGTCCAGTTTTTCATAGCTTGCAAGGGGAGGGGCAGGATATTAAATAGGCTCTATATCCATTAAAAAAAAAAAAAAAATCAAATCTTTAATAGATTTCCCATGCATTATTTGTCTCTCACATGTCCCTGGTGTCTACCCCTATTATTAATAACAAAGGTCAGAACACTTAATATTTGGCAGCATGCTTGACACATAATTGATGGCGCAATGTGCTATAACAGTACTTTACGCATCTGCTCTGAATATAGTTGTCAGCTCAATTCATTTTCAAGGATTTTGTTGACAATGCTTAATAGGAAAATGCTGTCTATACCCCCCTCCATTTTAATATACTTATATTCTTCATTTATTGACTGACTGGTATGTAGTAAAAGTCAAGTGGTTAAATCCAAATGTTGAAACAATAAGCAAATGAAAATATTGCAAAAGAAAAATATGTATAAACATTTCACTTGCATAATATTTCTTGTAATTTTCTTGTATTTCAGAGCTAGGCTTTTTGGAAGCAGATGACAGTAAAAGAAGAAAATATTCTAATTAAATATCTTAGCCAAAGTTAAGTATTAAGTTAACCTTTTTTTGTTCACCTATACAATCATGCTAAATAGTCTTACTTTTATCTCTTATGCATCAATTTGTCACTAGCAAAATGGAATGACTGCCTGCAGTTGCAACATTTTAAGTTACCCTT